CTCTTTAACAATAGGCTACCTCCTGCATTGGTAACGTGAGGTAGCTATCCCTTGAGTTTTCCTTCTAGCTCTAAGTCTTTACTGGACTGCCCCATTAGGACTTGTTTCTAAGAGAGACAGAAGGGGGTTCAACAAGTGGTCATTAAAATATCTTGCAAAAAATGTTACCCCTAGAATTAGTCCTTCTAAATGTCATTGATGCATGCACCACAGTGAACAATTCCAGCATGGATTTAGACGGTTCATCATCATGCATTGTTAAACACTAGCAGCATTCATCAGCATGGAAAATATGGAATGAATCACTGCATAAAAGGATACGCTGGGCTCATGGACATTTTATTAGTGTGCATAGAAAAGGATGTGAAAATAAACAGGACACCCCCATAAATCAGAACGAAATAGCTTACTAGAACAGTAATGTATCCGAGATCAATGATGTAAAGTTCAATGATGCACAGATGGAACTCTTCCACTTGTTCTTCCCTAGATGTAAATGACATGTTTATTTCAGAATTCTATTTCTATCTTCAGATTTAGAGACATTTTTCCGGTTTGACATGAAGCATCTCTTCTTATCATACAGTGACCTATAGATGACTTAGTAGAAATAGCTAGCAGTTAGTTAACAGCAGGATTTGAAAAATATTTGCTCCTCTGAGAGTTCATCCAGATTAGACAAGTATGTTAAAATGTGGCAGTATTTGCTTTCTCACTTAAAAAAAATCCAAATGACATTTTCCCAGTTACATAATGTTTTGAACCATTTCCTTTCCTTTTGCATTTTATTCTGTAGTCTTTTGTTCCTTCCCAAAAGGAATAGGTTTTTATAAAAACTAGTACATTGTGTTATCACATGAATTGTGACAATCAAAAGAGGTATATTCAAATCCCTCACCCCATTCTATTTCTGGCTGTTTTCACCATCTCTAAACATTATTTGGCTTAAAAAAAAACTCTCTCGAGAGCCTTAGCAATAAGCATTTGTGGTGGGAAGGATACATTTCAAAGTTGTTATATCTTTGAAATTAAAGGTGGTGGTGGTGGGGAACTTTTCCTCCATTTAAGATCTCATATTCAATGTGTATGTCTATGCGTATGTGTGTAGGGTTGTTCTTTTGCACCACAGCAGTTTACTTACTGCTCTTGTTCTAAAGCACTAAAGATTAAATATTATATGGTGAGAGGACTAGAGTGTGGGAAGGGGGGAAAGTTATAGGTCAAAAGTAGTAAACTGTATTTCCTCAGAGCACATCTCTCTCTCTCTCTCTCTCTCTCAATCTCTCTTTTTCTCTCTCTCCATCCCCATACAATTGGCCCCATACAGTCTGATTTCTATCACTATAACCATTCATTGTTGAAAAATGGCTGTGAAGGCAAAAGACGGCTGCAACAGATTGAGAAGCCACTGTCGTGTTAACCATGCCACTGGTTGAGACCCTCACTTTGTGAAGACTGTGTGTTGAACAGCTGTGCACCAACCTGCACACATAAAAAATACTCACACAGAGACATCTTCCAAGAAAAATAAAACCAAATCAACAAAAGTCCCATTGCGATCAGCGAGTGGCAACAGGAGCAGGTCTGTGAAATCTAGAAGCCCAAAATCTTGAAATCTTGAAATTATTTTTAAAATCCAAAGAGGAAACCTGGAGTTTGCCCTTTTATAAAAGGGACACCGTTTTACTACACCATCATAAAGACTGGCACATGAGCATCCATGGAGGAGTCCTGAAACCTAACCCCAGTGGATAACAAGAGGACACGCACACTACTGTTGCCTTTGTGAGTGCACTCATTTGTGAACTCAGGATTTGGAAAGTGGTGTCTACAGAAAACGTGCATATCTATGAGGGGGCAGGGGAGATACCTTGGTCAAGCAAACACATGCAGTTAAAAACAACTTCATAATTTACTTCTAAATTTCTATAGAGTTTGTAAAATAAAAAATAAGTTTGGACTAGAAGCCTACTTGGAGATTACAACAATTTAAAAATACTTCTAAGAATCTGGAGAGATTGAATATGCCTAAATCTAATGTTACAATCCATGTCACAATCACAACTTCCACAAATTAAATAAATGTGCCATCTTTCTATTATTTTAAAACTGTATTGATTTAGAAATAAGACACATAAATAAATGTCAAGAAGTATCATCAAGCAATTCAATATAAATCAACTAAAATCTCCAGTATAGATAAGTTATAGTCATTGGGTTGTATCCAATTGATGGCCCTCCACTGATGGTAGGGATTCCACTTCCCAGTGGAAGTTCAAACAGTCAAATACAGAGAGTTATTTTCAGCAATTCCTCCTCTGCCTGCAGCCCTTCCCTTCCAATCTGCACTGAAAGTTGAGAAGAACCTTATTAATAAAGTGAGAGAGACCACAGTAGGTGGGAGAATAATTGGAAATCCCCCCCCCCCCCGGTTCCATTGAAATAAAATAAACCTTCCCACTGTCAGATCTTTCAATCAGTGGAGAAAGGCCAACTGGATATAGCCATTTATGTACAAAATGGAATATGGTGAAAAGTTCAAAATGTCAAGCAAATAACAGATTTCTGCCACTACGATTTCTTGGTTTCCGATCTACAGTAAAAGGACAAGTAACTATTAGTTTAAAAATTCACTAAATTGTTGTTGTTTTCTTTTCCTAACAGTAAGTTCTTCATGAGAATAGAAAAACAACAGGAACTGTTCTTGCAACTGTCTATTGCAAGAACAACAGCAATAACAACAAAGACTTTTACAGCAATAGGCTATCTGTTGCTCATAACTGCATAACCAATGAAATGTTTTCAAAATAAGATATACAGCAGACAATAATTTCGAGGGCTGTTGTGCAAATTGTTTTTAGTCCTGCAAAAAGCACTCATGCATGATTATCTTGCATGGGCAGCTGTCATGCTTCTTCTTACATGAAATTTACCAATGGGATAAGAAAAATGTCAGTCCACATCTTCAACCATATTGACAGAGATGTTGAGCAATCAGGAGAGGTCACGGGAAGCCAGCCTAGTGGAGATCAAGCAGCAGCTGGTTGTATTCCTGCAACCAATTTTAGGAAGACAACATTTATTTATTTCTACCCCGCTCTTCTCAACCCCCTGGGGGGGGGGGGGGTCATCCTCGTCTTGGACTTTCAGAAGATCAGTAGGAGATCCTCTGAAAGTCCATTTTAACTAATGGTGACAGAAGCCTAGGACCTGCACTTTATAATCACATTTTATCTCCTTGGGTACTTTAAACTGTTTAATTAATGTTGATAATTTTACATCTGATATGGACCGACTTGGAATTATTTTAATGAGATATTTTATATTGTTATGTTTTCACTATGGTTGTAAACCACCCTGAATCCGTGGAGAAAGGTGATGTAGAGATGTCTCAAATAAATAAGTAAACAAATCCTGTTGCTTTCTGCAGGTAACATTGGTCACTGAATGACCATTAGAGGCATCGGCCATGGGGGAGGAGGTCCTGACAGATGGAAGTGCTGAATTTCATTCCATACTGTATAACCAAGTAAAAAAAAGTTCAACTAGAATGCATATCTTTAAAAAAAAAAAAGAAAATCTGGAGACAGCCCTTCATTAATATTGTTCATAGTACAACGTTGTTTGATTCCAGCATAATTACTTACATACCACACAACATGTAAGGGGCACTCTGACATGTGTTTCACACTCACCTGCTGTTGTGGACAGAAAGCTTTTCTATAGTATTAAATTCTATAATATTAAATGCATTTCTTTATGTAAAAAAACAAAACAAAAAAACTCTGGATTCTCAATTCTTCAGCATGATCTGCTAATCTTTCTCAATTCTTCAGCATGATCTGCTAATCTTGCAAGAAAAGCAATCCCAATTGAATATTTTGACATTTTCAGTTGACCCCATTCAATATAAGACCTGAAAACAGGGAATGCATAATTGTAGCTCTTGTAGTTGATAGCCATGGAATAGTCACGTTGAGCGCCTTTTAAAAATAGTAGCCATTCCCCTATGGCAATGTAGTCAATATTTATTTGTCCAACTTTTTGATGATTTACAATGAAAGGGAGAAAATTGTTGGATTGCAATTCCCATTATCCTTCAGTGCTAGTTAACTACTGCGGTTTATAGGAATGGCAGCTCACAATATCCATTGGGCAACACATTCTTTAACCGTATACTAAATAAATACTTTAAAAAACAGAATGTGTAACATGTTTTCAAAATTTCTCATGGGCAGAATAACCTTAAACACAGTAATTTGCTACCTCATCTCACTAGAGAATGAATCCACTTTAAATCCGGTTTCTGCCTCCTGCAGAATTCTGGGGTTTGTAGTTTAGGGAGGAGCCTTTAACCGTCCCACTAAACTATAAACCCCAGAATTCTGCATGAGGCAGCAACCGGATTTAAAGTGGATTCATTCTCTAGTGTGATTAAATATTTATTAGAAGTATATAATCTTAAATGTTCCATTGAGTTCCATGGGATTTATCCTCTAGCAAGTGCATTTAGGATTACAGCATTTAAATCTATATTGTCCAATACAAAGGGCTGTGGTGGAGCAGCGGATTAAACTGCTGGGCTGCAGAACTTGCTCACCAACAGTTTGGTGATCTGGATCCGGGGTGAGCTCCCATCATTACCCCCAGCTTCTGCTAACCTAGCAGTTCGAAAACATGCAAAATGTGAGTAGATCAATAGGTACAGCTCCAGCAGGAAAGTAACGGCATTCCATGCAGTCATGCTGGCCACATGACCTAGGAGGTGCCTACGGACAATGCCAGCTCTTCAGCTTAGAAATGGAGATGAGCACCACCCCCTAGAGTCGAATTTGACTAGACTTAATGTCAAGGGGAAACCTTTACCTTTACGACTGTCTAGGAAATATGTATGTATATTTGCATGAGAAAACATGTACATATAATATACATCATACACACTCAGCGCCAACTGTATCCTTGGTGATTGCAAGATCTCAAATGAAATTAGGAACCCTGTATACAAAAAAGAGAATGACAATTTATTTCTATTTTCTACCATATTCATTTGGCACAAGGAAAAAACTGAACAGCCCCATTAACGTTAGATGCAATGGGTCCATACAATCGAAGCCACAGGACAAGACTGCAGACTAAAGCAATGTGGTCCTTTACAGTTCGTATTCTGAGTTGCGTGAAGTGCTCTGTCACACTTCATATGTGCAACTAGCATATATTTTCTCCAGTAAGAGAAATATTATAATACTGAATTCTTGACAAAATTGTCTCAGCTTACATAATGCACTGGCACTACTTTACTGCACCATGTGTGAAGTGGTTCAGCATTTCTGGAGTATTCTTACAGCCAACCATATAAAAGAGTTGCAGTTCAGAATGACAGGGTACATATTCTGAATGTATTTCTGCCATGTGTTCTGACAAGACATCTCTCATCTTCATTCTGTGAATTACAAGAGCAACTAGTCGCATGTTTTCATTTTCTTTCCTCCAGCCAGCAATTCAATTCTGAAAACAGCATTTTAGCCACAGTCTCCCTCTTATCTGTAATTACTGCAGGGAAACACCTTGCTATACAATCCATCTTCTTCACTGTAGGTCTTGTAATCCTTGCATGATACAATTAATGTGACAGAATTTCTCTTCCGCCGCATGCAGATGGAACTCTCTTCAAAAGTAGGTACGTTTATCTTATAAATACATATTTGTTTTGTTTACATTAGAAAATCACAAATCCAAAAAACCACAAAACACTGAGAGGTAAGAGAGAAAAGCAGTCTGAGCAGCTTCTTATCACTTCAAGTTTTTTTTTCATTTCTGTAGTCAACTCTTTCCCCTACGGAGGCTTTTTCTTTTCTTTCACATCCTGCGTGGAGGTTGGATTCAAAGCTCCCATCTCTCTGCAGTGCTTTATGCATCCAGCATCACTGTAGGCTGCCTTGTCTTTATTCTGCATCCTTTGTTGCTTCCCGTTTTTAGTAGCATCTTTGAATTAGGAAGTCACTAAAGCGTAGATCATGCTGAATATAAAAGAAAAAGGTACAGGTTGAAATGATTTCTTTGAAATCTATAAAGCTACCTTTATTGTCCTCTTTCTTTCATACTCTAAAATTTATGCTGACTCTGAAGTCTTGGCTCTTCCCTCGCTATTCATGCTTTTTCATTGTATCTATAGATTGAAATTAAATTCTGATGGATTTAAAAATAATTACCAAAAATTAAATATTTAAAACTGCATCACATAATGTTTCATTGTTGTTTCCTAGCCATTTCTACACTTAAATTGTTCCAAATGTGACACTAACAAATAACATCCTTTTAAAAAGTGTGTTTTTCTGAAGCTTTTCTGAAGCTTTTGCTGGCAATCCCCTGAAGTACTGTCAGAGTTTTCTTTAATTAAATGTGACTTTATTTTTTTGCTTATTTCTATGATCTCCTTCCCAACCCAGGATGGAAGAAATGAGAAAATTAATGAGATGGTGATGGAAGAAACAGCCTTATCCACTGTAGTTCTGGAATATAAATATACAGTGGAATCCATTAGAAAAGTATATGTAATTTTTAAAATGTTATATAAAACATTCTAAAGGAATACATTGAAATACTGCAGCAGTAGCCAAGCTAGATATGATCACATATTTGTATGTTTTCTATTTCACTGAGTGTGTCTATATTTTATTGCTTTACCGCAGTGGTTTCCGACCTGTGGTTCATGGACTACCGGTGGTCCGCAAGAACTAAAGCATGGTCCACAGCCTCACAGTTACTACACCGTTGCAACGAGAGTGACTGGTCTCACAAAACCTCTTACGGTGCCAAGGCTTATTAAATATGTTTTTTTGTGGGTGAGCAGATGGCAACTACTGGATGGCATGTGTTCTATATCAGAAACTATAGCTAATGTGGTCTATCCAATGCATTTTTCTGAATCAGCACCCCCAAATAACCAAACCAAATCTAAAGTCCACCAAAAACTGATTCACAACCCTTTTGGTATTAATGTTGGAGAGTGGTCCCTGGTCAAAGTGGTCCCTGGTCAAGTGGTCCCTGATCAAAAAAAGGTTGGGAACCACTGCTTTTCATAGACATGTTTTATATTTCTTCCATGGATTTCAGGAAGTTCTGATCCATGTCCTGGGACCAAACTCAGATTTGCTTAGCTTCTGGAAAATTACTGCATCATTTGTCTTCCTGATTGTTTATACATGAAGCTTCTCCACACACAAAGAAGTAGCAGGTATGTGTGTCACATTTAACAGCAAAAACTTAAGAATAAGAGTGCATAACACTGATGGCTCTTCGGTAGGGTGGTGAATCCATGGCAATGGAGTGCTGAATCTGCTCCAGATTTTAGTTCAGATTTTAAAGATGCTGTCCAGGCTGCTCACCCTACTTTTTAGGAAATCCCAGGATTTGTAAGATCATTTTTTTCTCTAAAGAGTCTCTAGTTTTCCAGCCAATGGTCCAGAAAAGCTGTAGCCTAAAAAGATTTTTCTAGGCACAGTGTTTATGTGGGACAAATTCCAGTTGTGAATCCCATCCAATGTTAAACCAGTAAATTGATGGGCAATACATATATATATAGTAGTGGTTCTCAACTTGTGTGTCCCCAGGTGTTTTGGCCTTCAACTCCTCGGATTTCTGGGAGTTGTAGACCAAAACACCTGGGGACACACAAGTTGAGAACCACTGATATATAGTCAACCTAACAAGTCACATTCATTCAATGGAACTATCCTAGTTGGTACTATTAGTCCATGGATTTGTTACCCTCACTTTTAGTTTGCTCTTCCAGTATTATCACTACCTATTCAAAAACCTGTTAGGCATACCGCTTACTCGTATCTAACTTCTATCCATATGACATTGCTAAATGTCCTGATACATTTCCAATTCAGAACAGTGGAGAGTCTACTTCCATCTTTTCAAAATTACTTGGGATACAAGCTGTCTGTGTGTTTTATTGATTTTACCCACCCTCTGGAACAGCATTGTTCATAAATGCATGTCCTGAACTTGCTCTTCCATTAACAGCTCACATAATGCTATGTTATGAAAGATGGCACACCACTAAAGAGATGCTGCAGAAATGTCTCCCTATCATAACCAAATTACATTTGGACCAAATAATCTCTTTCAGCTCAAATAAAAGGTTTAACATTGCATGCATAAATTCATAAATGATTACATTAGCAAATGCAAATGCATGATGCACTTGGATATAGAGCTGAGGAAACAAAACTCTTATCATACTGATGCCCAGTTTCCCCACACCAAATATATGATTCAGGCTCTTGTAATAAATAGTCATCTGTATGTGATTAATGATTTGACCCCAAGAGACCTGAGGGGGAAAGTCATATGGTAGTGACTCCTCTAAATCAAACAGCGATTTAATTTAATAACACTGGTATGTCAAATAATAAAATACCAGTGCTTGGAAATGATACTCAACCAGTGAGATTCTATGAGATTCCATCAACTCCAAGCTCTGAAAAATACTAAAATATATAGAACATATAGAACATAATTGTTTCCTGGTGGACACATTAACAATGGAGATGATCGACAATACATTGATCAACAATTAATCTGAAAGACCTGGCAAAGGGAGGCATATCTCAACTTCTCTTTATAATGATTTTCAGTTACAATAACTACATATTTTTCTTCAGCTTTTCTTCAGCCTTTGAGGCAGTTTTCCCCAATTTGGTGCTCTCCAGATTTATTGGACTTCATTCTCCAATTGAGTAGGAAGAATAGAATCTGTCCTCCAAACACAACTGGAGGGCAGCAGATTGGAGACAGTCTTTACTTATGAGAAGTGGGACCAATCTTACCAGTAAAGGTAGTAGAAGAACGAGAGGAGATAGAAAGCTAGTTTACACCAAGCCTCTCTTTGGCAGTAGCGCAAGGTATCGGCATTCATTACTGCAGGTGGATCATATGCTAACTCTGTGCTGTCTGCTGGACAATGGAAATACCTGAAAAAAGAGAAGGGAACATTTGGAGAGAATCAGCAGTTTTCTGGCATAAGTTACATCAAGCCACAAATCCTCATGAAAACCATATTATCTTAAGAGTTTTCTTAAGAGTTTTCCTAAAGACCTCTAATTCAAAGCATGGATGTATCTCTTCCATAGATGAATCAATATAGAGAAACATTACACCTGAAATAAAACTTCACACTTGCAAAATAGCGACTTTTTTATTCCAAGACAATATTTTCCACATATATTCTTCTGTAAGTAAAGAAAAATCTTATACCAACGACAGAGATAAACAATAACCTGCAAGAGGGACCGATTCGTTCATGCAGACTATGGTGCTGCTTGCTCATCCTATAACAAATTCTCTTACAGTTCAGGTCCAATCTATCTTTGAGACCACATCTTCTTCCATGTGCCAGCGCGGGCTCTGAGATCTGCTGGGGAGGACCTCCTCTCTGCCCCATGGTTGGTGGGGATGAGAGAGAGGGCCTTCTCTGTGGTGGCCCTCTCTCTCAAGCACTCTCCAATCCTTCCGTACACAATTGAAGACATGGCTTTTTAAACAAGCTTTTGACCATGTTTGGAAACCCTGAATTAACATATTTGAGGATTTAGTGATTATTTCACAGTGCACTTTAGGAGACTGATGTTAATTGCAGTTGTTTATATCTGCAGCTATTGTTGCATTTTACTGATCTTAACCAGGGGAGTTTTATTATGTTGGTTGTTATTGCTTTTGTGTTATTGTCTTCGCACTTTTTGTATTTTGTGTGTTTGCACCTTTGAGTGCTTTGTGAGCAGCCCCAAGTCCCTTTGGGAGATGGTAGTGGGGTATAAATAAAGTTGTTGTTGTTGTTGTTGTTGTTGTTGTTGTTATTATTATTATTATTATTATTATTATTATTATTATTATTATTATTATTTGAAACACAACAAGATGAGTCCACAGCAGACAAGATCACTCTGCTGGCTGTTGTATTGGATCACACGTCGGACACTTCCCAACTGTCTAGGACTGTGTGATGTATCGGCGAATAATGCGTGCAGATCCCAGTAAGGTGATCTTCTGCAGCTGGCAGATGATAATTTTGTCAGCGCCGATTGTGTTTAAGTGCATGCCAAGGTCTTTAGGCACTGCACCCAGTGCGCCGATCACCACTGGGACCACCTTGACTGGCTAGTGCCACAGTCTTTGCAGTTCAATCTTTAAATCCTCATATCGTGTCAGCTTTTTCAGTTGTTTCTCTTCAATCCTGCTGTCACCTGGGATTGCAACATCAACAATCCATACTTTTTTAAAACATGATTGTGAAGTCAGGAGTATTGTTGTTGTTGTTATTATTTACATTTGTTTACATTTAATAATTTATTTGGTATTTGTCCCACCAGATCCAATGCAACACAAAATATGATGAAAACAGATGTAAATAAATGAGCATGCATATTACGTTGTATTAAAACAGCATTAAATTGCAGCAGTGTTTGTCAAATGAAGAAATTAATATCTGTATGCATGAAGCTGTCTGTATGCTTCATGCATACAGATATTAATTTCTTCATTTGACAAACACTGCTGCAATTTAATGCTGTTTTAATACAACGTAATATGCATGCTCATTTATTTACATCTGTTTTCATCATATTTTGTGTTGCATTGGATCTGGTGGGACAAATACCAAATAAATTATTAAATGTAAACAAATGTAAATAATAACAACAACAACAACAACAACAATACTCCTGACTTCACAATCATGTTTTAAAAAAGTATGGATTGTTGATGTTGCAATCCCAGGTGACAGCAGGATTGAAGAGAAACAACTGAAAAAGCTGACACGATATGAGGATGAATGCACAGCTGGGGTGAAAATTGCTGGAAGAAAAATTAACAACCTCAGATATGCAGATGACACCACTCTGATGGCCGAAAGCGAGGAGGAGCTGAGGAGCCTTCTAATCAAGGTGAAAGAAGAAAGCGCAAAAGCCGGGTTGCAGCTAAACGTCAAAAAAACCAAGATTATGGCAACAAGAATGATTGACAACTGGAAAATAGAGGGAGAAAACGTGGAGGCCGTGACAGACTTTGTATTTCTAGGTGCAAAGATTACTGCAGATGCAGACTGTGGCCAGGAAATCAGAATACGCTTACTTCTTGGGAGGAGAGCAATGTCCAATCTCGATAAAATAGTAAAGAGTAGAGACATCAGACTGGCAACAAAGATCCGCCTAGTCAAAGCCATGGTATTCCCTGTAGTAACCTACGGATGTGAGAGCTGGACCTTAGGGAAGGCTGAGCAAAGGAAGATCGATGCTTTTGAACTGTGGTGTTGGAGGAAAGTTCTGAGAGTGCCTTGGACCGCGAGAAGATCCAACCAGTCCATACTTCAGGAAATAAAGCCCGACTGCTCATTGGAGGGAAGGATACTAGAGGCAAAGTTGAAGTACTTTGGCCACATCATGAGGAGACAGAAAGCATAGAGAAGACAATTATGCTGGGGAAAGTGGAAGGCAAAAGGAAGAGGGGCCGACCAAGGGCAAGATGGATGGATGGCATCCTTGAAGTGACTGGACTGACCTTGAAGGAGCTGGGGGTGGTAACGGCCGACAGGGAGCTCTGGCGTGGGCTGGTCCATGAGGTCACGAAGAGTCGGAGACGACTGAACGAATGAACAACATGCATGAAGCACTTGCTTGAATGAATGGACCAGGCTGGTCCTGGTGTTGCTCTCAGCATCTCTACACAAGTTAAAATGGCAAGTGTTGAATTTCTGCTCCTTTTGCTATACAAACAACGCAGCACTACTATCACGGAAGGAGAGATGTGGCCATCCCATGAGCAAACTGATCTCCAAGTAGGATTATGACTTACCTCCAGAAGTGATAGAAAAGCAGAGGAATATTTAAGCCAAGGGTCAGCCATTCTTGTGCACACAGAAACATTATGCAGAAAAGGCAGTGGATTGAATACTCTGGCAATACTAGCTGGGAAGAAAAAGAAACAAAAAGGGTTACAACATACCACTGTTAAAAGCAATTACTCCTTGGTTTAAAAAAACTTGTCAGAAAATTAGCTTTATACACATGTGGAAAATTTCATAATACAGCATAGTCAGTCTGACTATATTTGGATAGTCTCAATAACAGAATAGCTAGGACCCTGAGGATGAACGTTCCTGGATCCAGCCCATACATATGCCTTCATCCCCCATACTAAGGAATTACATAGTCATTTCAAAGGGGGATTAAAATGATAATGAAATTATTTTCTGTATTTTGTGTGGGAGAATAATTAGGAAGTTTTCAAGAATTACTGTTTCCTGCAGAAGAAGGAGATGACTATCTGGAAGAGGTCCAAATTAAACGCTACTTTTTTCTCAACATAAATTATTAGTTTCTGAAAGCTTAAAGTATAAAAACAGTGGCTAATAGCTATCATGCTTGGAGATGTTAAATCCTAGCACAGTGCAAAAAAGACTCCAAGGAATTAATTATATACAGCAGTTTTGGCATAGGCAGATTCTGGTATGGCTTAGGGAGTCTGTGTATACATGCAGTAATGCATTTATTGTACAAAATTCAACTTCACTTGTGGAATTGTGCAATGTTTGTAACATCCTTTCCATACTCATGGCCTTTTCCATTAGTTTTTCTTCGCACAATTAATCTCTTAATGTAGAAAAGATGAAATAGTGCCCAGCACACTGACGGCACCAAATGCTGTCCATCTGGAAATACCCTGTATTGATGCTGGAAGGATTCTGAAAATCCACAGCAAAGTATATTCTTCCTCTTATGTTGTCTTTGAGAGATAAATTATTGCATGTCTTTCTGTCTTAATACTTTATATAGCCTTGTTCTGACATGGCTCAAGAGCAGTATGTGTGAAAAAGATCTTGGAGTCCTCGTGGACAACAAGTTAAACATGAGTCAACAATGTGATATGGCGGCAAAAAAAGCCAACAGGATTTTGGCCTCCATCAATAGGAGTATGGTGTCCAGATCCAGGGAAATCATGCTACCTCTTTATTTTGCCTTGGTTAGACCACACCTGGAATACTGTGTCCAAGTCTAGGCACCACAATTGAAGAGAGATATTGACAAGCTGGAATGTGTCCAGAGGAGGGCAACTAAAATGATCAAGGGTCTGGAGAACAAGCCCTATCAGGAGCGGCTTAAAGAGCTGGGCATGTTTAGCCTGAAGAAGAGAAGGCTGAGAGGAGACATGATAGCCTTGTATAAATACTTGAGGGGAAGTCATAGGGAGGAGGGGGGGGAAGCTTGTTTTCTGCTGCCCTGAAGGCTACAATGACTTCAAACTACAAGAAAGGAGGCAGGGGGTTGAATTGGATGGCCCATGAAGCCCCTTCCAATGCTATGATTCTATGATTCTATGACATAAACAATCAGCACACACCAAGACTGAGGAATGCAGCATACACAGCCCTTTTGTCAAGTGATATTCTATATAGTCCATTCTTAAGGCCAACGGTTTACATTCAATGAATGTAAAACTAATGTAACAGAAACTACTTTACTGCTTTTGACCTTTTCACCTACTGATGGCTAGCACATGTGAAACACAATAATGCTGTTTTAAGTGCACTTATCTCGGTTTTTTAATTTGCTAATGGCCATGCTATTCATTGTAGCAGTGGTTTGTGTAAATGTATGCAAAATACATTTTAACCTGCAATGGATTTTTCCTATTCACAGTGAGACAGCATTGTCATCCAAGTATAATTTCAGGGTGGAATGGGCCACAATCTTTATAGCAAAGTGGGAGAAGGTCTTTTCCAAGACTAATTGAAAATAATTTGTACGGGGGAAACCATAAACTTCTGAAAGTCACTATGTAGTGGGAAAACATTCCCAAGTAAACCTATTAATGCTTCAGAGTAGGTCCACAACTAAATTGACACATGGTATGAATTAACTCTTAATTAACTATCTCACACATGTCTCCCTTGATGATGCCTTGGCAGCTTTCTGTATCTCTGGCTTGATCCATAATCCTATCTCCTGGTTTTTCCTACAGTTCTGACATCCATGGGTTTATTTATTATTTATTTATTTCATACATTTATGTCCCGTCCTTCTCACCCCCAGAGGGTGAGTCAGGCAACCTCACAACCATTAGATGCCCAAACAAAGACAATCTTATTCTCAGCTCTGATCTTCAGGCTCAATTCTTGGCTCCCCTATTACTCCAAAGTATTGCCTATGCTCAACCCTGACATGATTTGATCCCCTACCCATTTATGTCAAAATGTGTTTCACAGCATTAGCTTATGTTTGAGACATAAGCACTCAGTGTAAAGTAATCTAGGTTGTTGCCTTTCCCAACATTAGCCATTAATGTCTGGATAAACACTTTTATAACCTGACTTAGCTCCCCAAAGTAGTATTGAACATAGCAAGTTCGACAGTGCTTCCCAAGTTGCCTCCCTTTACATGCATCAGATGTAAATTGTAAGAACATTAGTTGTACTGAATATACTCATGCATAAGTCTTGAAATTCTAGTCAAAAGTATACTCAAAAAGGCTTGGATGACTTATGCATGGGTCAATCTGCTGTGCCTTAACTCTTATAAAAAAAAAGGAACAATTATGTAAGCTGAGTGGCTAAAAACAAAGCTTAGTCTACATCAGGAGAACCTAAATGAAGTACCAACCTCCTCTATTCTATCTGGTGCTGCTTCAGGCCCCGTGGATGCCTGGGTGAGAAAATGCCAACAGCAGGCAGGAGCAGTTGCCACTTTAGGTGGCACTGGGGCTTTCCCCTCTTGACAACCACATATCAAGCCTACCTTCAACATATACACAAGTCTATATGCTAGTTTTGATTTCTGCAGAAATGAAGCAAAAGTTGTTCATTCTTCAAGCCAATGGCAAAGGCCAAAGAATCACTTGGTACTTCCATTTATTTTGACCCATTGCACCAGGATCATGAGACTTCTCTGCCAAAGAGTGTAAGTTCCTCACTAAACTACAACTCCTATAATTCCATAGTACTGAGCTATAAAAGATAGTGGATTATTTACTAGCAAATCCCACAAACTGTACACAAAATTATAATGGTTAGGGATTAATAATAACAAATCCCAACCACTGGTAATGGAATGTGGCTTATTTAATAAAAATCAAAAGCTGAATATGCTGGAACGATCTTCTGGCTGAAAAACCTTCTAAAAGAACACTGGCTACCACCACACTTAAAAGAAATGCTTAGCCCTTGGCTTGATTTGAAGTATCTTTAGGCTAGAATGTGCTGGATTCGCACTCAGGCTTTGTTCTATGAGGTAACACTAAAGGGATTCCTTTTAACTACACGCTTCTACCATTTATACTTTGATTTCTTCTGTAAACTGCTTGGAATTTCTCACGCAGAGGCACACTGAGGCAGTGGTTGTGAACAAAGAAAAACGTTGTTTATTTGAGAGAACTTGAACAATACAGGCTTTAAGCTTAGCGGTTTCAATGTTAAATAAAGCGTATGGTTTCTTTAAACAGTTCAAAGCTTAGTTGCAAATAACACTCCTCTCTCCCTCCAGAATCCTAAACTAGTAATCCTAAACTCCACACAGACAGTCCCGTTGAAACAGATATGTCTTACATGCCCTGTAGAAAGCTGATAAGTCCCGCAAGGCACGGACTTCAGGTGGCAGAGTATTCCAGAGTGATGGTGCCACTGCTGTAAAGGCTCTGCGTCTGGTTGCTGTTAGACGCAAGGTCTTGACACTGGGAATTTCCAATAGATCTTGGTCCTCAGAACGGAGGGATCTCTGGGGTTGGTAGGGGGTGAGGCGGTCCCTCAAGTACATCGGCCCCAGACCATGCAAGGCCTTAAATATTGACAATTTATTCTCTGGAATACTGGAATACTGCCACCTGAAGTCCGTGCCTTGCGGGACTTATCAGCTTTCTACAGGGCATGTAAGACATATCTGTTTCAACGGGACTTTGATCTCTGATATTGTTATTTTTAAATTGTTTTAAATTGTTTTTAAATTGTGTTCGATTTTAGCCTGTTCTTGCAAGCCGCTCCGAGCCCCAGGGGAGTGGCAGCATATAAGTTTGAATAATAAATAAATAAATATTTGCTTGAGATAGTGCTTGCAGTTCTGGAGGGACTCTTAATTTTTTGCATCTCATAGACTTAGCATGGGGATTTGGTTAACCAGTTAAAATTCATGAGTAAACTGGGTTTTTTAAAAAAAATCTGAAACATTTGGGGGGGGGGTTGAACCCCTAAAAAAAAACCCCTCGCTACAGGCCTGAAGTTGGGTGTGTGTGTGTTGAATGCTCTCATTAAGGAGGCCAGACTTGGTGGAGGTGGTTGACAGGGGTGGAGCTGCAGGCTATTGAAGGCTGCTCTGCCCCCTGCTGTGCTCTTTGCTTCAGCGTGAGCTAGGAGGCAGGTTTCAACCCCCTCCCCTGAAATTTTCAACCCCCCCCCCAAAATTTCAAGCCCTCCCGAAATTTTTTTCTGGCTACGGCCCTGCACAGACCCTAACTGAGCTGTCAGGTTTTAAAACACACCCTTAAAGTCATTTTTTTTCTTTTCTCAAGTTAAACTCCGCCCACTCTCTCCCAGCCAATCACAAACACTTCTCATTTCCCTCCAAGCTGCTCCTAAGCACGCCCCCTCTAGGAAATGATATTCTAAGATGGATGCCCCCAGGCACCCTTCTAAAATGGCTGCTGAACTTCCTGGGCCTACTTTTCTGAGCTTTTCCTAGCCTAACAGGTAGGGAATTCATCACATGAGCCATGGCAATAAAAGTAGTGTCAAACTATGTATTGTCGAAGGCTTTTGTGGCCAGAATCACTGGGCTGTTGTAGGTTTCTCGGGCTATATGGCCATGTTCTAAAAGCATTGTCTCCTGACATTTCGCCTGCATCTATGGTAGGCATTCTCAGAGGTTTTGAGGTCTGAAGACCTCACAACCTCTGAGGATGCCTGCCATAGATGCAGGTGAAA